AAGGCTATCACTCCATTTTGCAACGCCATGCCATACCCTGTGGACAGCGCTTGATTGGAGTCAATTTCATCCTACAACAGGACAATGACCCAAAGCACACCTCCAAATAGTGCAAGAACTATTTAGAGAAGAAGCAGGCAACTGGTATTCTATCTGTAATGGAGTGGCCAACGCAGTCACCAGATCTAAACCCCATTGAGCTGTTGTGGGAGCAGCTTGACCGTATGGTACGCAAGAAGTGTCCATCCAGCCAATCCAACTTGTGGGAGGGGCTTCTAGAAGCGTGGGGTGAAATTTCTCCAGATTACCTCAACAAATTAACAGGTAGGATGCCAAAGGTCTGCAATGCTGTAATTGCTGCAAATGGAGGACGAAAGCAAAGTTTGAAGGAAAAAAAAATATTATTTCAAATACAAATCATTATTTCTAACCTTGTCAATGTCTTTACTATATTTTCTATTCATTTTACAACTCATGGTGGTAAATAAAAGTGTGACTTTTCATGGAAAACACAAAATTGTATGGGTGACCCCAAACTTTTGAACGGTAGTGTATATATTAATACATAATGTTTTCCAGACTTCCACCCAGCCAGTTCCATTAGTGGATTTCTCATTGCTGCATTATGGTTGCACTTTTTATATTTGGAATTACAAATTTGTTAGATTTGTTTGTGTTTTATGTTTTTGTTTATTCAGAAAAAAGGAATCTTTGAGCATTGTGACCCGATGTATCAAATATGATACATATTGAAACTCGTATATGGAAAATTATATTTGAATTTTTATTTTATTTTTGTTCAAAGGGACCAATAAAGGGTCCAAGTTCAAATAATTGTAATTTTCTGTCAATTATTTAATGGTTTGGGCTTTACAGTGTTAAAGCTGCCCACTGTTCACTTTGGAGATGGGTTAAAAGCAGAGGTCACATTTCGCTGTGGTGTGCTGTGTCACAATGACAAGTAGTTCAGTTTCTTTTCTTTCTTCTTCTAATTTGCTTACCACAATACCACATAGTGTTTTGTTGGTTTTTTTTTGCTGTTAGGCTTGAATAAAATCTGGGTTTAAGGTGAAGTATTTGCCCCCTCTGCTGTATCCTAAGGCAACCACTACATCAGTTTAAAGCTTACTCAAAAGTGACATGTGGCTATGCTGTTAGTCTTTGACATACTGTAAGTAAGTCGGCACCAGCTGCGCAGCAAAGGTAGAAACATGGCTGCAGCTTGAAATAAGCACAAAAACATGCAGTAGATCTTACTTTTGTTGTATTGAAAATGGTCATAAAGATTGCATTGCATTGCATAACAAACTGAAATTCTGTTTGGATGTTATTCAGTACACTTTAGGTACTTTTAGAGGGAATCTTTAATTGCTCATAAAGAAACTGAAAATTGCTCGTCAAAGATTTGTCTTGGATCAGTTCTTACAGGAACATCCTGGAACTCGTCTCAGTCCTGGTTGATGCAGCTAATGTTGCTTTGATGGATTTTAATGTCCGTGTCCAATCATTTGTCTTTCGTTATAATTCAATTACTGCTCCATTTACTGGCCTCTACTGCTTTTACACTTGTCCCTGGGGAGAGGAGTTCATAGGGTCAACATTGTGCATTATTCATAATCCACTTAAAGTCCAAGGAAAAACAATTCTGCAGGAAAAAAGGATTTTATGTCAAGTTAGGTTACTGCTTGTCTTATTGATTAGTTAATTGTCAGTCAGGTGACAAGCTGCATGTTTGTCTTAGAAGCTAACCACCTGTATAAAAAGCTCTGACGCTCTTTCGTCCTCTACATCCCTGATCCTTCCTGTTTCCCATCTTCCCTCTACACCAGACCCTCTCCATGCCTACTTAGGTTTGTGTGGTTTGTCACTGATCGGTGAGGCCGACCTAAGGAAGGTCCACCCAGCCCTTAACATCACCCAGAGAGCCTTTGAGCACCTCCAGCAGCTGCAGCAGACATGGAGGGACAGCAGCAACGGCGGCTGTAACGGACAGCACTGACAGCAGGATGATCTATTTGGTCTGCCTTAGAACAGGTTCAGTCAGTAACATCCAACAGCAATTGGTCCATCAACAGTCACTGGACTTAAACTGTGTCTCAGTGAGGTTTGACCTCTTGACCACAAGGTCATTGTCTTTCAGGAAATCTTGACCTTTTTCAGAGGCTGTGGTTTCACAGAAGTTCCTGTGAGCTCATGATCACTGAAAGCAACTCTTCTGCTAAAAAATACACACCTCACTCTTTTTAAGTAGAAGCTAATCGCTAATAATGTTTGCATTGTTGTTTGTTTGGGAATAAAATATGTCCCAAAAAGTCAAACTTGAGTTTACAATGAACTTGAATAAACTCCACGTTACCCCTGTAGTCAATAGATAACGATGTCTTGAGTGGTCTGGAACTAAACTGCATCAGCAGAATCAGCAATACAACTGTGTCCCTTCACATAGATGTTAAGAAACAGCCTTAAGTCTGAGTTGCATTTTCACATCAGAAGAGCCAAATCAAACAACCTAGAGTAACTTCACACTGGTGGCACTTTGGCCCAGAGGCAACGTCTCTGTCATTGGGTTGGAACCCCAGGGTTCACCTCCTGGGCAAGATCGAATCCTGGTTAGGGCGGTTGGTACCTTCCAGTGGACTCACCACCCACAGGAAGGTTCAGGGGGGTTGGTACGGTGCAGTGTGATTTGGGTGGTGGTCGTAGAGACTGCTGCCTGCGACCTGGTAACGGATAAGCAGATGAAGATGGATGGATGAAATTTCACACTGCTCTTATTTATTCAGCTTTGACAGAGGTGGAGCTAAAGCATAGCCTAGTGGTAATTGGTAAAGGTGAGGGCAAGCCCCCCACAGAGCCACATTGAGAATTAACCATGTTTATACTAGCGATGTCCAATATTAACTTCTTGCAGATATTGTCCCAACACTTTGTTTCCAATTCCGATATCAACTGATATCAATATATGCAGCCGTTTGAGTTAAAGGCAGAGGACATGTTTCATTATGTGCAGTTTTGTGGTGTCACAATGACAATACTCTGCACAATGCAAATAATAGTTTCACTTTAACTTCAAAAGTATTTTAGGTCACATCATCTGGGCAAAACCCAGGCATTTCATTTTTGGGTTTTCATTATCGGAGGGAAAACCGATAACAATTCTTACCAATATTACATAACTTAGCTAATATCGGCCAATAATATTGGTTGGCCGATATTATCGGATATCCCTAGTTTATACCCATGGTCAATGGAGTAAACTATTAAACCAGAAGCATAAAAATCCAAACTGAAAGATGAACAGTTCAGGCTCAAA